TATTCTCAAGAGGAATTAAATCATTGAATGCAGCAAAAAGAGTGTAGGGGATAGGACGGAGTCTTGAGAAACACCGGCATTCACTGACATGAACTGCGAACTACATTCGTCGCCGTTCGTTGACGTTCATGCAGGAAGTCAGCCACTCAGGCACAGAACTGAGTAGGCAGACCGTATCCAGGAAGCTTGGAGAGAAGACTTATGTGCCAGACCCTATCAAAGCCTTGGCGATGTTAAGGCTGATAGCCAAAGGCTCACCTCGCTTATTGATAGCCTCACCTCAGATATATGTCACGTACGCTAGAAGGTCACCTGTCGATCGATTCGGTCTACCCTCTTTTACTTGTCTCAAATATAATGCAAACATATTATATGTATTTTTTTGCACAAAGCGACAGATTTGTTAGTTTTTACTTCATCTAGTAAAATTAAAATATCTGGTAAAATTCAAACAGTCAAAGCCAATTACAGGATACTCACAGGATATTTACTCTAAGTGTCTACATGAAAAATGAGTTTAAATCCGAAATTTGGTTTCAGCGGTAATACATTTACCAGCTTAAGTGTTTTGGATGGGTTTATTAGGTTTAATTTAAATCAAGAATTTTGGAAATATTTTGCAGTTATTCTGTTTATTCATTAGCTATTTCAGAAAGTATGCGTCGTAGAGCATAATGGGGTTTACCTGTAGATGCGGCTTAATGAGACGGGTCGATTGGTATTATAAAAGTTCAGTAGAGGAAAAGTGCAGATAATCGGTTTTGGCACAAAGGGGACGATTTACTAACTAATAAAATTCTCGCTTTCTAAACGCGCTTTGTTTGTTATTTTGAAAATGTACATAGGTCTAACAATTAATTAATTCTTCATTAATAATTCTTATTAAAAAATAATGAACAAAAATATTTACAAAGAATAAGGAAATTTATTTAAATTCAAAATAGGGAACCCTTCTACTACAAAGGCGATGTTCTTGGCTGTATCATTTTGGTGGTCATTTTTTTACCATTTTGGTAGTCAATTTTCATTCCAGTGGACTACCGAAAACTCAAGCTTAAATATTTCAGTAAGTGGTGTTTGTTGAATTTAACCCGTAGGATCGTTTAAAAATGAAAAAAAAAACATTAACAATATATTTTCTTTTTTTATTTTGCACCTTTAATTGCATTTTGTGCAAAAACTATGGGAGATACGCAAAAATATGTTGATACCTTTTTTGTAGGAAATTAAATTTTCTACAACTTTGTACTAGAAACTTTTTCTATTTTTCCAGCCAGTCGCGAGATATTGCCGAAAAACTCGTTTTTGCACCATTTCGCATTTTTTTTCCACCCTTTGCCGTCAATGCAGCACCCTGCAATTTTAGTATATTAATCTACGAACCCTTGCAGCAATTTTCGCGTTGGTTGCAGGTGATCAACTCAAAATGGCAAAGTTAAGCCTTCATTGACTGGACTATTTAAACCTTTGAGAAACGAACGTTGACTCCGTGCTTTCAGACAACTCATTTAACTGTGAGTCCGAGGCATAATTGTCTATAGTACTTGGTAGAGTAATTAATGTAGTTTTTTTTTGTTAAGGTGGTGGGCTGCGTTTTAGTGGCATTATTACCAGGACTATAGAACTCGTTGAAATACAACAACAAAATTATTTACGATTAATTGAGGAAATACGATGTTGTTATTCAGTACACTACACCTGAAGATTAAGTACCAGGATATCATAACCATAAAGGTAGTAGAAGAGTAAGTTGTAGGTGACGGAGTACGATGTTCGCTATTCGGTAGTCTATACTTGCAGGTTTAGTACCAGGATATCAAAATCACATGGTGGTAGATATGGTGGTGATTGTGAGGTCTTTCTAGAGCGAGGGAGACGACCAGGCAGCTTTCCAGCTCACAGCGAATAATGTAAGTGGATTATCGATTATATTTATAAGGCGTAGTACCAGGACAGCATAATCTTAAAGGCGTTGTAATAATAGTATGAATCGTACCGTATGATGTGCTATGATTATGATGATATGATGGTGTGTCCAAGCTTGAGGGTGTGGTCTTGTCAGAAGAAAGCGGGACAACACGCTAATGGCTGTGGTGCAGCGTCAGGGAGGAGATTGCTTCAGCGAGGTACTAGGAGCGCATACGCAGTTTGGATGCATTTCGCGGTACTCCGTACGCGTGCGTCTTGCGTCGAATCAATCACTCCTTTAGATTCTGCTCTCCTAATTTTTTGCGTGAATTTTACTATTTACTTTTTACTTAATTATTTAAATAACACTTAAAGCACAGGTCTAGATACGTCTACTCGTAAACGAGGTCCAAGGGAAAGAGGAGAAGGGAAAGGGAGAGAGGGAAAGGGATATATTTTTGAAGTTATACTTCTTTAGGCGCGTTATGAAAAAATGATGAGAGTGAAATTTTAAGATGCGCGCGCATCACTGTAACACAAATTTTTACTTTTGTGTTTACCGCATATTAAGAAAATCTACCAACAAAATAGAGATAGAATCTCTATTTAGTGGGTGCTAACGACTGCATTGTGAAGGCCTATCAAAAGTATTTATTAATCTGGAACAACGGAACCAAAGCGCGATTCAGGAGACTATAGCGCCATCTCTTGACCATTGGTGTAGTAGAACCAAAAACCACATCTTTATTTTTTGTAATAAAGTAACAGTTATAGGTATTCATATTTATAATATCAAAAGTATTTATTAATCTGGAACAACGAAACCAAAGCGCGATTCAGGAGACTACAGCGCCATCTCTTGACCATTGGTCTAGTAGAACCAAAAACCACATCTATATTTTTTGTAATAAAGTAACAGTTATAGGTATTCGTATTTATAATATTTATCCACATGTTTCTAGTTTGTATATTCGGATTACGTGTTTGAGTTTCATACAAGTGCAAATCACATATGTTCTAATAAATTATATTCAGTAGCGATTTTAATTGAATATTTTGATTATTTATTTATTTTTTCAAATTAAAACTGAACTTATTAATTTATTGTAATTAATTATTTGCATGCAATTAAAAACTAATTTTAAACGATGCCAAAGAAGGATAACTTCTCACGCGCCTACATAAGTACACGCACCCATTTTTTTTTTCTTTTATCTGGATACTTATAAAGACCAGGTTCCGTAGTATGAGTACCACAATTTACATTATATCACGTTGTTATCGCGTCTAACTGTCAAACGCCATAGTAATTTGCCAATGAGCGCGATAAAAACGCGTTATAGATCATATCGCGGTGCTCATGCTAGAGGGCAATATCGCTTGCAAAGGTTCCGTGGTGTAGCGAGCAGGCAGCACGGGCGGCCGCGGATACCGGAGGGCGATACTGGCCTTTTTAGTGAGATAAAGTTTAAAATTATTACACACCGCTTTTAGTGAGAAAGTGCTAGCCGCTTCGTTGCCGACCGCTGCCATTTCGGTGTGAATTGACCCCTAGTGATTTGATATATATTGTGATAGGTAAGTAATGATGTAAATGAAACCCGTTAAAATTGCTTTGTGTTATAGGCTACTTTCTGTTGCTCATTATGAATAAAAAAAACTTTTATTTATAAATTATGATTTGCGAATAACAACAACGAAAAAGAAACTGGAGGCCGTCTATGAATGACCAGAGGTGAGGTCGAAACGGAACCCTTGCTTGTACTGTGTGATTTTCAAATAATTACAAAACAGAAATTTATCAAAGCTTCTTCTATTAAAGTACCTACTACAATTAATCGGGAGTTAGGTTTTTGTAATCTCCACCCGCAAAAGTCATGCACGTGAAAAGATGCTGCCAGTGGAAGAGCTTTGTGCTACCTTGTTCATTATTTACTCTGTTCTGCTGTTTATATATTTTTATTAATTCGTAGTTGTATGACCAAAGTTATCAAAATTTGGCCCTTTTTAAAAATAATATTCATACTGTAACTATTTAAATTAGCTTTATGCTGAATCGTACATTACTGTTCTTTAAAAAATATGGATGTTTTTTCACAGTTCACAAAATCTCTAGAATTAGGTAGGTAGGTCATACTGATACATTTAAACTGCTCATCGATAATGATATCTAGTTAGTTTGAAATAAAACTTTCGATTGAATGACAAACACGTTCGATATTCATCATTCATTCAACGTAAATGTCCAGTCGTAACCAAAGTGTTTGGCGTAGCACGCGATTTTTACGAGAGTCTGAGTATCTATAATAAGAAGTATCATTTTACGACTTATACAAATAGAACCACTACTGAAATTAATACATATGGGATAGCTTTACGGGAACATAACATGGAAGAATTAAAATTATGTAAATGCATTTTTTAGCAAATGTGTTGAAAAAAGTTGTATGATATTCGTGCGGTATTGGTATTTGCAAACTCGTGACTGTGGTAAACCCTCGACTTCGTCTCGGACTTACATTCGTCTACTCGTTTGTAATAACCAACTTACCGCACTAGTATAATAAAACTATTACTATAATATTTATATTACACGTTGATTTTGACCATGTAATTGCAATTTAAGGTCAATATTATAATTGTATCGAGTCTACAATATCCTTAATACAAAATCAAATCTTGATAGAGCAACTGTACATAGGTAGCTAGTAAGAAATGAGACACTTATAAACAAAAATGAGTATCCCCTAAGAACTAAAACATGTTTATCTTCGGGGGGCAAAGTGAACAAGAACTAAGTTTCGTCGCTAGCGCAAGAATGTCGTGCTAATGGAAATTTTATCGACATCGCAAAGCTCTCAGGAGCCACTCAAATAGCCGGAACGTTGGATATTGCTTAATTGAAGGAGCTTTCTATTTTTTTCTCATAGGGTGAACATTCTGTAGGCAAAATTAATAAATAGTTATATGAAATTGAGACTTTATTACACGCATTCCAATCAAAGTTCATAGCTATTCCACAAACCATTTTCGACCCGTTTTTAAATTTATTAAAATAGGAACGTTGATTATTGTAAATAGTTTTTTCTTACCTGAGATTACTCTACCAGGTTTTTGGTATGTGTAGTCGCCTGGTCGCCTCTGTGAGCCAGTGATGTATCCAAGGGTGAATTTTTCCGCGTGAGAACCTCCCAATGTTAATATGAGGACGCAGCAAGTCCGCCACTGTAACAAAAGATAACAAAAAAAAATTAGACGCCAATCTGTTATTTGTGAAGCATATTTTTTCCCTTACTAGAACTAGCAGTGCCTAATATCCTATCGCAGACGAGAAATATAAAAATATTATATTAATGTAAGAAAATAAACTTTGGTATTAATTATTGCCAATGACAATCGGCGTGATATGTCCGGTTTTGAGAGCGCATGGTGTTCCAAAATTTTCCCAATATAGTCGGGCCGTAAAATAGGTCTATTATGAAACAAATGTAATGCGAACACTATCCGTAGCTACCCTACGACAGACAGACGAGCGATAATATTTGATGTTACAAATAAACTTTGGTGTTAATTATTGCCAATGACAATCGGCGTGGTAAATTTGGTTTCGAGAGAGCACGTGTCGCCAACATTTTTCCAATATAGTCTGCTCGTAAAATAGGTCCTTCTCACGCGGGAAATACGGCCTTAAAACGCACGCCTTCCCTCCTGCACGAATTATGGTGTGTAGTAAACATGCGGATCAAATACCCTTACATATATGTGAAATCAACGACGCTACATATAAAGTCACATTAATCGTATTCTTTTGTTTGTTATTTCTTGTGGCGATACTGAAAAGTTGTTTTAGTTTCGTCATTGCATATATATTAGACAATAGTCGGTGTTGACATTACAAATATCGAAGTACGTGAATTGGTACTTAACCTTTATTATTCACTGTAATAACTAGTATCTGTCATTGGCTGGGTTATATCTTTGTCATTACTCCAGCCAATGATAGCCCCTTTTCTTGCAGTTTACCGTCCGTAATTATAATATAATTCTTTACGAGGAAAGAGTTCCACTTCGTTATTTCCGTCTTTCCGTGACAGGGTAAAGCAGTTAATAGAATGGAATATTAAACTAATCACTTTAAATGAAACATTAATATACTATTTACTTTAAGTTATATTTATTTCTTAGACACTAAGTTTCATAAATGTACTTGCGATCGCACGCTCTATCTAAGGAATTTTAAGCAAACTATTTCAATGGTTAGATAATTTTAAGCACGCATGCTTATATGCTAGTCTTGCTAGAAAATCACTGCCGTAATTCTGGATAGATGGCGGCACTAAAACGAATTAAAAACAAATTATGTATTTACATATTTTACAAAGATAAAATAGAAGCGATGTAGCGATTAAGGAAATAAACTGTAATAAACATATCAGACGATATCCATTAAATAAATATTGTACAACATTATATACATAATATTGCTATTCAAAATAAGTGAATTGAAGCTTTTGTATCAAGGGAATCAGAAAAACTACAATAAATTAATTTGTAGTCATATTTTTTTATTTCTTAAACATTTAACTGCTACATGTTTAAATCTAAAGAATCTGGCCTTGCAGCCTGAGAAATACTAGAAAGAATTCGTTGGACACGGTCTTGCTCAGCTTGTCAGCGTGGAATACTTTGTAGTAAAATTTTCTTTAGATTAAATGCATTAAATTTTTAGTAAAAAAATACGCAATACATTAATCTTCCAGTTTGCCCGTGGATTAGTTAAAAGCAACAAAACAATATGTGTACATTTAAATGTGTATGCAACTACTGAGGGATAGAAAAGAGGTAGGTACATTCTGTTCCTAAATCTACACTAAAGAAAAATGCTTCTAAATCCTACTTGCTACTAATATTATAAAATGTGAAAGTGTATGTTTGTGTGTTTGTACGTTTTTTTACTCAATCACGTTAAAACGACTTATCCGTTTGATTTGGATGAAATTTAGTATGCATAATTATAGTTTATTACCTGGATTGAGACATAGGATATTTTTTTTATTTTGGGGATAAAATCTCTGTGGGGTTTTTAAAAAACTAAAAGTAAAACGCGGACGAAGTCGCGGGCGGGCGCTATCATATTATAGAGCTGAAAAAAGGGTCGTTAACAAAATGAGTCATTGCCTATATTAGGTCAGATCTGTGGTTAGATAAAAACAATGTTTTTTATTGAGATATCGTTAAGAAAGTGCCTGCATTGATCGATTACTTTTTAATCGTACATTTACTTAAGATTTTCTCTAATTTATTCAAGTGTGTAGTCTGTTTCTATGTATTAATTATGTAATTATTTACCATGGATTTAACCATAAAGTCAGTCAATTCTACACAAGTTTGCATCTACTCAAGTTGGAATCGTCGTCATGAATCTTATACAAAAACTTCTAAAAGCTATTTTTCACGCGTGACACGAAAACATAACACACTATATACAAAAGAATAAACAACGTAGGTACGATACTGAGATATTGATGATTTATTATGAAAACTTGCGACAGACAGCTCCATCCAATAAGCACACAAATAAATTGCGCATTTCTTTTTGGAATAAATGAAAGTCAGTTTCTGGATAAGCGTTATAGGTTTTCTATATAAGGTATAGTAAATAACCCGCATTCTATATGATAGTAAGTGTAAGTCTAAGTGAAGTCTAGCAGCGATTACAAGTGATGTAGCGCCGCACCAGCCATGTCCATCTTGCCGATCTGAATTCAATTCTCCTAGAGTCCTGGAAAGTTTTAAATAACAGAAACAATAACACAAACACACAAAAATACTGTAATTTTGCTGTCATATTCCGTAAGGTGGGTCCCTGTTGGCGTTACAAACAGAGAGAGAAATTCGCGTCTTACAAGTTCAATCCATTATCATCTTTATAACCTCACTAATTGTGTCCACCGGGTTTATCCACGTGTATCCCGAATTCAAGAAAAAAGTTATAGTGAGTTAAATTTAAAAGTTAGGCAAAGGAACATTTCATTACAAAATTTCCGTCATACATGATTTTTGCATGATGGACCTTTTTACCAATTACACAAGGGAAGCTCTCAAAAGGAATATTTGTGCCTGTAACTATTGTTGCAACATTTTTATTTATGCTCCGCTCCTATTGATAGTAGCGTGATGTTATATGCTTTCCTCGATAAATGGACTATTCAACACAAAATCAATGTTTTTAATTCGTAAAAGTACCGATAATGCCTGAGATTTGTATGGTCAACAAACCTAGAGTTGGTTTGTTGACTGCACTTTATAGTATTCTTAATAAATGTTTTTATCAATTTCTATTGAATAACATTGAAATTATTTATTAATAATATACATAGAAACATTAATATAACAAAAGCTTAAAACTACTTAATGTCTAGAAACTTGAAATATACTTAATTAATATTTATAGTTTACTAGCTGACCCAGCGAACTTCGTACCGCCATAAAAATAGGGGCAGAAATAGAAAATTTAGAGTTGTATGTATTTTTTAATACCACATTATAAATAAATAAATATTGTGCAAAAAAAAATTAGGGGTGTGTAACGTAGTGTTCTATCAATTTCCTGGGATAACATTCCTCCTAACCCATATGAGAACACTACGTTACAATACCTAATAGTTTGAATTTTGGCGCGAAGGCACATTGTAGGTTTCAGACCACTACGAACGAATTTTATTTTAAATAAATAAAATTCTCGTGTCACAATGTTCTTTATTTATTTATTTATTTTGTACACACACAATAAAATATTAGAAAAAAAAGAGAAACAAGAGACATGTACAAGGGCACTGCTTATTTCATAATGAAATTTCTTCCAGCAGGCCCGCGAAAGGAAAGAACATATAAAATGGCTGTCAGTGTGTACTCCTGAATAAATATAACATAATACATATACATATAATACATACATATATATATATATATATATATATATATATATATATATATATATATAAGAAGCAATAAAGTTTAGATAGTCAAGTAGAAAGGTAGTGTTCCTTCAATCGTTTTTTAAAGGTAGAAATGGTCTGGGAGTCTCTGATATCTGCTGGCAACGAGTTCCATAAGCGGATGGCATGTACTGTAAAAGAGTAGGATGCAAAGTCAGTTTTGTGAGTAGGACATTTGAAAAGGGATTTTAGGTGGAACCGGCAAGGAACATTAGGCAAGTGGGTGAAAGAAAACCGCTCTCGAAGATAGGAAGGATATAAAGGATTGTAAAGGATGTTGAAAAGGAGACAAAGGATTCTGACATTCCTGCGCAGACGTATGGGGAGCCACTTGAGTTCATTTCGAAAGTTGGAGACCTGATCGTACTTACGAAGACCAAAGATGAATCGGATGGCAAGATTCTGCAGGCGCTCAAGTTTGTTAAGCAAAATCTCCGTAGCTTCTAAATAGCAAGCATCGGCATAGTCGAGAAGGGGTAGAATAAGAGATTGTGCAAGGGCAATTTTAGAATGTAGAGGAAGAAAATTTTGTAAACACTAAGGTGTGAAGTGAAAAATACATTTTGCGACTTACATCAGTGACGTGGGCTGTCCATGAGAGATTGGAATCAATTATCACTCCGAGATTTTTCACCGTTTCGCTGTAAGGAATATTGATTCCACATATTGAAACTGGTGGCAAATTAAAGGAACGGATATAATTAGACATATACCTACTCCCTATGATGATCGCCTGTGATTTACAGGGATTAACTGAGAGACCATAATATTTTGCCCAAGTACTGATACGGTTAAGGTCCTCATTAACGGCTGCTATCGTGGAGTCCGCTTCGTCAATATTGAAATGGCGATAAAGCTGCAAGTCATCTGCGTAGAGATGGAACTTGGAGGAAATAACTCTTATAACTGAGTTGATAAAAATGGAGAATAGGAGTGGCGAGAGAACACCTCCCTGAGGTACACCCACACTGAGTTCACACCCATCAGAGGTTATGTCATCAAGATGAACACACTGCGAGCGACCCCGAAGATAGGAATCAAACCAAGAAAGAGCAGAAGAAGAGACATTTAAAGAATGAAGAATAGCAAGGAGAATGTCAAAATTTACGGAACTGAATGCATTGCTAAAATCTAACAATACTACGACAGTAAGTGCTTTGTTATCCATTGCCCAGCGAATATCATCAGTGACATTCACTAAGGCAGTGGTCGTACTGTGTCCTGGCC